CGGAATACCAGATCGCACTCGATGGCAGACCTGTCGACTCCGGTCTCGGCATCAACCTTTACCTCGCCAGGCATCGGCTTGCTGGCAAGAGCGAGCACACGGAGACCTAAACTGGCTAGAGCCTGCATGTTCTGGAGGATCTCGTCGCGGAAATCTTTGATATCAACCAGGCTGCCAGAACTATCAGGGGTGTAAGTAGTGCAGCTTTCAATCACCCGTTCGACAGCGCCTTTGGTGAACGCGTGGTAGGTACCGTCTTTGTTCCTCATGACGACCGACATGCGCTTGACGTCCGAGTCAAACGGTAGCTCGGCAACGTCCCTCCACTCAGAACTTTCATCACCAGTCAGGGCGATGCGGTCCCAGCCAAATCGACTAGCCATAACTTGAATGGCAGTCTCAGTAGGGTCGCCACGGACTTCCCAAGCACCCTCCTTGTTCTTGTTGACGGTAGCAAGGTTGGCAAGGCAGGCGACGTTCAAGAATTCCGCGAGGCCAAAGCCGGTATCAGGACCGGAAGCATGTTCGTTGGGTTTGATAATAGAACCACAAGCTTCTCCAGCCTTCTTGAGGTCGATAGCGCAAGGCGAAGAGGTGTGAAAGCGAACATCTCCAGCAGTGGGATCGAATGCGGACGTAGAGTTCTCGACGGTAAAGGTACCCTTCGATGGCATCCAGGCGCCCCTCGCGACCATCTTTCCCTGAGTGAGAGTGCCAGTCTTATCGGAGCAAATGTCGGTAACGGCACCCAAAGCTTCGAGAGACTTCAAGTTACGAACGACAACATTTCTCTTCACCATCCGCTTAGTACCCGCAGCCATAGTAATCGTCAAGACAACTACCAAGCTGGCCGGGATCATGGACAGACCGGTAGCTACAGCGTAGATAATAACATCCTGAGTGGCGCGGAACTCGTTGGCTCCCAGCACGATGATGGCGCATATGACGGCAATGAAGAACAGCAAGACAGCAAGCTTGGACAGCTTCCTCTGGAGAGGAGTTCCAACGTTCAGTCCCAGGAAACGGCCGACCGCATCGCTGACGGTCAATAGGTAAGCCTCGAGATAACGATGGGGCTTGGCGCGCGCATTGGGGTCCTCCCGGGTCTTCTTAGGTTCGCGGATCTTGGTTTCCTTCTGTCGGAGTTGAGCAGCGATAGCACCAATCTCAGTGTACGAACCGGTAGAGAACACAATTCCCTTGGCACGACCCTTGGTAACGTTGGAAGAGCTGTAGGCGACGTTCAGACGATCGCCGGGGCCAGTTGACACCTCAAAGGTAGCATCTTCCTTCTTGCGAACAGGAAGAGATTCACCCGTCAAAAGAGCTTCATCTGTCTCAAAGTTGACTGCGCCAAAGACGCTGTGAGTAGCTCGTCAGCAGGCTTATCCATATACTTAGGCATGCACATATGAACTTACCGAACATCGGCTGGAATGGTATCGCCCGTCTTGAGCTCAACTAGGTCTCCGGGAACCAAGTCGGAAGAAGCCACCGTTTGCAACTGTCCGTCACGAATGACACGGGCAGTGGGAGAACTCAGTGACCGAAGAGAATCCATAGTCTTCTCAGCTGAATATTCCTGGAAAAAACCGACGACAATATTAAGGAGGATGACCCCGGCAACAACACCGCCTTCGATCCAAGACTTGATGCCGAAACTGACAGCCATGGCCAAGATAAGAACCAGAGTCATGGCATTGGCAACCTGCGCGATGAAAATGCGTAGAGGAGACACCTTCTGGGCCTCCCCGACATCGTTCTTACCGTACTCCGCGAGTCGTCTACCTGCTTCGTCGCTTGAAAGGCCATTGGTCTGGTCTGCTTTCAATTCATCGACAACTTCAGCCAAAGTAAGACAGTGAGCAGGCTGCGTCATTGGGCGGTTGGACTGCCCGCTGACGTGCTCCGCAGGCTGCGTGACTTTTTCAGACCCCATGATGAATAGAGAAGAAAGCTTGATAAGAAGCCTCGGCGTTGTGAGTTGCAAGCAACGAGTTCCAATTTCGGTAGCGTTAAATGTTGATGCTTCGTTTTTTTTTCTTTTCTTTTCTTTTTTAGTCGGTTAAATGGTCTTGATGCTGGTGTTCTCTATCTGGGGGTAGTGGTGAGCTGTCGCATGTAGGCGGAAGCACAGACGACAACGCGGAGCAGGTCCTGAACAGTAGCGAATTCCATGGAGTTCGAGTGCAATTCAATCGGTGAAGGTGGGCCTCTTGCGGCGCGTAAGCGGAGAGGAAAGTGAAGTTCGTAAGGGAACTCCAGTAAGAAAAAGCTTCGAGAAGAGTAAAGGCCGTTGAGAGCCAAAGGAATGAGTACACGAATCAATTGCTCGACAAGTTGGTGAGTGTGGTGAAAAAAAAGGGGAAAAAAGAAGGGCAAAATAATCGTGAGTTCAGCATGGGGCTGGCCAGCTCTTGTATGCGTTGAGCTCCGCCAAGGCCGCCAAGATTTGACGGCAATCGCTCCTTCCAATTGAGTTCCTTCCTTCACCCACCCTGCCGTAATTACGTAGTGCGTGACCCAGATGTTGAGCGTACCCAGGGTAAATGGCAGAACTTTGGACGTTGAAAAAAACAAACCCAACGTATCACAGCTAAAGGAAAAGTCTCTATTGTACGTCCCTGTAAAAACCAAGCACCGTCACTCAGAGCCTCATTCCATTAGGACTTTTCAAACTCCGGCGATGTTTTCCTTCCCCCTCTGCCTGCTCTGCTCACTGAGTCTAGGTCCTTGCTCGAGCGCACGTGATTTTATGCCAAGACTCCGCCAAGTATCCGCCAGTGGAGGAAACGAGGACCTAGATAGACTATCTCCCTTGGCAATACCCCACTGCAGGCGGATTCCTTGCTTGGCGTTCTGGGCATCTCCATGTAAATCAAAATGTGCTTTCCCTTTTCCAGTAATCTGACTAAGGGAGATTCACTCAAGTCAAAAGCCTTTTTTCCCTTCAATGTCCAAGACATCGAGTACGTACCGGTGTGTGGAAGGTATCGATGGTGAGTATTCCGGCAAAACGAGGAACCGCGGCGGAAACGAATGAACGAGTACACATTATGGCACACAGTCTTGGCACCGGAACAGATGCACACGAAGTCAACGACTGGATAGGCCATAGGTGGCAAATTACGGCTCTACCATGGTACCCACAAGAGATTAATAAAAACAAAAAAACAGAGGCTGATTGATATAAACATAATAGGCAGGTGTCGCTTTTGGCCGCAGCATGTCCGACCATTCTCCACCTTTCCCCATCCACTCAGGTAGTAGCACGCTTCCCCTCCAGTGCCGTCTCCCTCAATTCCTCCTCACCCTAGTTTTTCACCATCTCATCCTCCTTATCGACTTGTCGTAGTTTCAGTACATATCACTCTAACCTTGCTGCCTTTTACTCTGCTGTCACATATCCTCTCGTGTCCTGACATGTCGGATATTCCTTCCTCTGTGTTTACTCGGTGTCACTGACCCTGGAGTTCCAGCATCTTGGATTCTTACCGGACTTGGGTCGATTGCAGAGCAAAGGATGCTGCTCGCAGGATTCAGAAGAAGTACTCCAACCTGTCCGTTCTAGTTTCTCTGAATTCATCTGCTCAATCCGCACTGTCTCCAGCTTCCCCGCCGATTTCCCAACCGGTTTTTTGAGTTCAGCCAAGAACATACATACCGTCTCCTGATGCACCCCGGTCTCGGTGTATCCAATGCAGGAGGCAACGGATATGCGCATTTCATCGTTACCGGAAATCAATCCATCACTCGCCGTGGCAATTGCCCTCTCGCACAGTTGAAGACCCCTGCGTGAAGTGACTTGATTCTTTTAAGTTACGAGACGCTGGCTATACTGACTCGAAGGGGAAAGGGGCAGAAGATGACCTCTTACGTAAGGCAGGACACGGTGCCCGAGACCGGGGGTCGCGCTCCGTAGGCCCGTCTTCCAACCCGCCTCTTACAACTTCGCGGAGTAGGGAAGCGCCACACTCAGTTCTCCTTGATTGGTTCATTCCTACTCGGTTATTGGGCCACTCTTGTAACAGCAGCTATGCCCGATAGCGGGGTCTGGATAGATGCCAAGTGATTCTACGTTGCAGAGAAGTAATTAGTGCGAGGGTGTGTGTCTCTCTTTCTCTGTCTTTCTCTTCGGCTCCCGCTCTGCGACGGCCGGTGCAATGGGCAGCATCGCGCGCCCTGCGGCAGAAATTGGGAACGACCGACAGCTTGACGGTCGACTAGCCGACCACCGGTGCAAGAGCTGCGTCGCTTTCCCGCAAGCGGGTATTGTGGAGTCCTGGGCGGAGCGGAGGAAAGAAACCTCCCGGCCGCCACGGCCAAGGCTTCATCCTGCTGATTTTTCCTCCTCTTCCACTACACCATCATGTCCAAATTTCAGAGACCCATCCCCGGCCCTTGTCTTCAATGGTCTCGCCGAGCTTCTCGGCAATGCTGCAGTGCGGCATCCGCCCTGGCGGACCAATAGGCGAACGGCAAGGTCGTACCAGCGTCCGCCGAGAGTCATGTCTAACGCTGCCAAATGAGTATCTCATCCTCTGCTCTCCTAGCTCTGATTCCTTCCTTGGCGGGAGATATGCGTGCCGTGCCCTACCTTGGTGGAATCCCCTGACAGCATCACCCAGCCAAACCAGCAAGCCGCTCACGCGAGCTGCCTCGCGTTCGCCCCCGCTCTTCTCAAGATGTAGCCGAATCTAGTCTTGATACCGCAGACGGCCGATCCCGGCTCGCCACATGCTGATAGACAGACAAGACTTCCCGGTGCAACCACAGGATCAACCTGACCCACGAGCCCGGCTGCTTTCACGTATATATCCCCCTCTCGAATTCGCTTATCAGATTGTAGTTTACCTTCCCTCTCCCCTCTCCCTTCTCAGCGTGGCAGCGATCTTGTTGCGGGCTTGTACATCCAACTCTTTCTCAAACTCTCTATCTCCAAATCCCCTTTCCTGCTTCACCGACGTCGTGTTTGCTTCGGCTCAAGAAACCAGCCCACGATGGAGAAGTCAGAATACGGAACCGCCGACAAGGCCGTTCAGGAGAACTCCTCCATGGAGCAGATCCAGCAGCAACCCTCCGTTACCTCAGGGGAGTCTGTCCACGAGAAGAAGCCGTAGTGGTACCCTGTCCTCGAGCCCGGTTCGGCCATACAGATCGTCATCGCTGCCGCCATCGCGGTTGCTATCGGTTTGGGTGTGAAGACCGCCCACCCGGATATTCCTGATGCGGCGACGACTATCCTCATAATCCCCGGTGACCTCTGGCTGCGATCCCTCAAGGCTATCGGTATGTTGATCCCGTCCAACTTTCACCAGAGATCATGCTTCGGTATATATGCACCACTCAAAGTGCTCGAAACTAACCACACGTTCAGTCTTGACCCTCATCGTCACGGCCATGATTCTCGCCGTCCCGGAGCTCAAAGAAATATCTAACAGCGGCGCCAAGCTCGCCAAATGGACCATTGGCTACTATGTTGGCACCACCATCGTGGCCATTGTTGATTCCATCATCATGACATCCCAAGTCTGGAAGGATTTGCTTTCTGTCCTGGGATCTCCGCTTGAAGAGGTCGGCTAGCGCTTGAAGATAGACCTCCTGCGCCTCAGGCCGGCCTCCGTCATTTGGGAGAAGGTTGTAACTGGCTCAGCAAAACGCTCTTCCGTCACTTTTTCCAACCATACGACAGCGATGACAGCTTCAAGCCCTCGATGGTGGGGGTAATGTGATGGCCGTGGATAAACATGGGTCGTTGAGCTGCGGATGTCATGGTGGAGGCCTCAGCAAGTAGGTAATGGTAGGCTGTTGCGAGAAAAATTTGGTGGAGCTCAGAAGAAAAACGCAACCAAACCACAGGGATCCGAAGCGAGACGGTAAATATGGAGGAGGAAGCAGAAAATGGAGACACCATGTATGGGCTTCAAGGAGTCAAAGACATGAGCTCAGAAGTGTACATGTAGTCAGCTTTAGTGTCCCTTTCTGCTTTGCTACCGAGCGTAATAAATCGTGTGGATTTAGCCGATCATTCACAATAATTAATTGCAACTAGTACGAGCAGGAAGTAGACGGGAAAGGTCTGAGTGGCAGTGATAGTAAACCGATAGGCACACGGTCAAGGGCATTACCAGGGCCTCGTCCAGCTCAACTTCGGCTGCCGAATTTACGATACCGCAGCACTGGCAGGACAGAGATCACGGCCCGCCCGCGCCTTCTCTGTGACTTAATCAGGGGTCATTTCAACTCTTGAGGTGTGGGTAACTTGCTATCCGTCCAGGCGCTGCCCGCGTCCTGGTAAAGCTCAAGCAGCGGCGCGGCGCGCACCCTGCGTGAAAGAATCAGCCATCGCATTTATATCGTGGGCACGGGTCACTTGCTATCCATCATGCTAACCAGTAGGATCAAGGCATTTTTCCGAGACCCTGGAATGTGTCAGCTCGTGCGAGGCTTCCTCCTCGTCCGCGTTGGCATCGCCGAAAATGTCGCTGGGCAAATTAACGGCGCGGTCAAGGGCGTAGGGAAGGCCGCGATGGCGGCCGCGGATCATCATGGCGCAAATGACGAGCTTCGCAAAAATTCCGTAGTGCCCGACCATGGAGACCATACCGGAGGGGCCGCCGAGGGAGAGGCCGACGTTGCCGCTGGGAGGGTGGCCAGCTGGGCATTCTGTGATGGCGGTGCTCATGATTAAGTAAGTGCTTACTAAGCAGAGGTGACTTCGAAGAGGACAGGGAAGACAGCAAAGGACTGTGCAGCATGTCAGTAACTTTAGATATCGGGCTGTCGTTTTAGGAACGACTCACAGGAACCTCTGGATCCATTATGCGTTTGGCTTCTGCGATGCAGACCAAAAAGGTGCCGAAGAAGATGTACCAAAGATCGAAGCTGAGCTGGTTCCGCACGTGACCCATGATGTAGCTCACGCCGTCCTTCTCGTTTAGGTTCTCCTCGTGCGCCCAGACACCCAGAGCGCCATCCTGGTAGATGTTGGAGGCACGGATACTGATGGCAATTGGGAAGACTGCAATGTACATCATGGTAAGGAGGCTGAATTGAACGGCGGGGTTGACGGCGGCAAGGTTCAGATGCCAAAGAGGATCCATGTCGGGCGGCTAGGAAAGAGCAAGGTGTAGCAACGCCGGGGATGCTCAAGCAGGTAACGTAAGGCTTCCTTAGCCTGCGACGTCTCGGACGCTAGCCTGTATGCAATCCAGATGACGAGGCGGAGGAACACCGGATAGCACGTATTCCCTGCAAAGGCCAAGAAGGTCATGACCAGCATAGGCCAGGTAGCGTCCCTGAAGGTGGCCATCGAGTCGGGGGTCAGGGTGAAGCCAAGATTGTTCACCATTGTTTGGGCCGAGTAGAATGCCCTGGAGTAACGTCAGTTTATCATGCCATGCATGACATGAGGTGCGGTAAGTCCATACCACCAGGTCTTGCCGATACCAGACTCCTCGAGCCAGTCGGTGTACTTTGAGGGTGCCTGAAGAATCCAGGGCAAAAGGCAGAGAACGCCGATGAGGTGAAGCGCAATGAGGTACCCTGACATGGTGATCAGCAAGAGAACAGAAGGTTGCCGCGACTTGCACCAATGTCGGGCACCAAGGGTCTATACTGACCAAAAACAAAGTACAAGAGCATCTTCAGCGCCCGGTATTCGACGCCTCCCAGAACGTCGAGATCACTCTCGGACAAGTCACTGAAGTTCGAGATGCGGAGCTCGGGCACCTTGTCCTGAGGCCGGCGCTGGCGAGATGAGCTCCGATTGCGATCCTGGCTGCGACTGCGACGTCTGGGGTCACTGCCGAGGACGAAGGCGGAGGACGCAGCCCTCTCGATGGACCTGGCGGCCTGAAGGACGGGGCCATGGGCAAAGGCGCTGATTTTGGCACTGTCGGCGCGCTGAACAGGTGAGATCGCATCCGAGTCGACGTCTGGCCGGACGGCGTTGTCCCACGTGATGGTAGGCGACCTGACGGTCCTCGAAGCATCCGCTTCAGGTGCAGAAGCGTTCTCGTCGCTTACGTGCTTGCCGTCTTGTTCTGAGCCGTCGTTTTCGTGTGTCGGGGACTTTTCATCAGTACTAGTTGCCGTCGCTTCAGCAGAAGCTGCTCTCCTGGCCAAGGCATCGACTGCGAGAAACATCAGCTACAGCCTGCTGCTAAAAACGACCTCGTGAGAAAAGGGCGTAGACGCACCGGCTTGCTTGAGCCGGCGGTTAAACCAAAATAGCCGGATGGGAACGACCATCGCATTGATGAATAGCAAGTTGGTGATGACAGGGATGACATAGATGTAGACCTGCTGGTACGTCGGGATGTTCTTGACATCGATTCTTTTTTCATCACATATGTTAGCTTTACAAGAGATCCAGGGGCACGGCGATGAGGAGAGGTGTCGTTTACGTATTGAGACCCGACTCCGTGGAAGCACTGGCGCCAAAAAAGAAGGCATCGATGGCAGCAAGGTTGCCGTAAGGCATCATGACTGGCAGGGCGAAGACGGCGCAGAAGATGACCCACGCGTAGTGAATACTGATGAAATTGAGGTGTGGCATCCATGATGCTCGAGTACGGATGCCCATTTTGAAAGGGTTGGGTCGACAGAAGAGCGACAGTAGGCACTGGACAGGACACTGGAGGCTGCGAGCAGGCAGAAAGATGAAAGACGAGAGGGCGTCAAGTGAGGGCTCTAAGATAGGCCGAACCGAGTTTTTATTATCGCATAGAAATGGTTCCTGCGCATCTGGTCAGGGCCAATCACGTCAAATGGTGAAGGATTTTGCAAAAGCAAATTGGCAGTGGGACATCCATCTGTGACTGTTCATGCTGGGCGCGCATATTCAGGGTGGAGGCGTGAGCAGGGCGCGACGCGGCTATTTGCGAGATACTCCAAGACATTCTCCAGGCACTCAGCTTGCTGTGTACTGTGACGCCCGCTCTCCGCACCTGGCAGGGTCTTTGGCGCTGCGGCAATTTTGCCATTCGCGGCTCCTTTGTTAGAAAATCGATGTCGACTCGATGCAATATGTCTGGGGTTAATTATTTACAGAGTGATTGTTGTGCTCGACTGAGGGGTTCTTTTTCGACCGAAGCGGGGGTATGTATGTCTTGTATCTACCCGTTTTCACCCTCACCGGTTGTTGCATATTGCAACAATGCGAATAGGCCAGTTTCAACTGCCTTTTATCCGGACACACTTGTCGATCTAACACTCTTCCAGACAAGACCCTCGAGCGCCCGCAGCCGACAGTCAACGACAGGGCACGGAATTAGGAAGCGAGGGAGGCCTCTCGCTCTTTGTCCATGACTCATGCCGTCCAAAAGCACACTAAACTATCGGTCAACCACGGAAACCATCCACGTGCGCAGACGATCACAAGGAACCTGTGTTGGTTGCCTTGCATGGGATCACCGTCCGTCGTCTCATTCCTCTCTCGTCAATGATGGAAGTGTCTGCCCCTCGAAAACAGATCAACGATCATGATCTCGTTCTTACTTCCCACGCCTTCGCCATTCGACCTCGCCATCACGGGGATCGGAGGCTGGCTCTTGCTATCCGGCGCCGTCTCCTCTCTCTTCAAAAACCGGTACCACCTCTCGTACGCCAGTGAGTCTGTACTCCACGCCGCCGCCCCTGCGACGATGCAGGCAAGAAGAACAAGACGCCGCCCGGCGTCGTCTCATTGACATGATCTTTTCAAGCCCTCTCCTTCCTCGCCGGAAGCTTCCTCGCGTCCCTCACCGACTCGGTACAGCCTGTGCACTTTGTTGAAGATGGCAGCATCGACGCAGTCACCACCTTCACGCTGGACTTGAGCCGGGTTGTCCTTGGCATCCAGCTGCTCTTCGCAGGCGTTGGGCTGCCGAGCCGCTACCTTCGCACAGAGTGGAAGTCTCTCGCCCTCTTGCTCGGCCCCGGACTTGTCGTCATGTGGATGTCGACCACCCTCGTCATCTGGCTCCTCGTAGGGGGCGATGGCATCTCCTTCGCCCACGCGGCGGCCGTAGCCGCCTGCGTCGCCCCCACCGACCCGATCCTCTCGTCGGCCATCCTCGAGGGCCACTTCGCTGAGCAGAACACCCCCAAGGCCCTGCGCGACCTCATCATCGCCGAGTCGGGCGCAAATGACGGTCTCGGCTATCTATTCGTGTTTGGCGCCCTCGCCCTCGTCAAGCACGCCACCGTCGGAGGCGGCGCACAGGGTATCGGCCAGACGCTAATCTCCTACCTGGGCTACACATGCCTGTGGGTGGTCGGGGCCAGCGTCGCTTTCGGCTGGGTCGCCGGTCACCTGGCTCGCGTCGTCCTTCGCTGGGCAGACAAGCGTGGGTTCATCGACCGGGAGAGCCTGCTCGCTTACTCGGTAGCCCTCGCGCTCTTCCTCCTCGGGACGTGCGGAATGCTCGGAATCGACGACGTGCTTGCCTGCTTCGTGGCAGGGAACGCCCTCACGTGGGACGACTGGTTCCGTCTCGAGACCTTGGATGACAAGTTCCAGCACGCGGTGGACGCGATGCTGAACCTTGTCATCTTCATGTGGCTCGGCGCCCGGTGTCCATGGTCGACGTTCTGGGACGGCGAGTTCATCGACCTTTGGCGCCTTGTGCTCATCGGTCTGGGAGTGCTGCTGTTCCGCAGGCTGCCGGTTATCATGGCATCGTACCGCGGGATCAACCAGATCGAGGGCGCATCACAGGGCCTCTTCGTGGGCTACTTTGGCCCCATTGGCGTGTCGGCCGTGTTCTATCTCTGCATCGGCCTGGATTACCTCGGCAACCTGAGGACGCAGTACAAGAACGCCCCGGCGTCCATCGAGCGGCTGCAGCAGCTGATGCTCACCATCGTGTGGTTCCTGGTTGCTTCCAGCGTGGTAAGTATACCCTTCTGTGCTAGGGCGCGGGTCTGCAGCTGACTTGAGGTGCTTACGCGCAGATTGTCCACGGCTTCAGTGTGCCCGCGGCCATGTTCGGGCTTCAAATGAGAGACATGTTGTCGTTGCCACTGCAGAGCGCCTCGCCAACAGGACGGATTGCTCTGCCCTGAGAGGAGACGTCATTACTGGCAGGCTCTTCTCTCCTCGGGCTAACGTGTGTGGAAGGTTTTTCAACAGGAGAGCCGGGGATATAACAGTCCGTTGAAGAAAATCAATACTACCAAATTGATCAGTCATCGATCAACCAGTCTCCCCACGCCAAATGGATCAGAATTTGCCTCGAATCCAGCACATACAACCATACCCCCTGGAAAATACGGGATTTCGTCCGCTTTCCCAGAGTCAAGCCGGTGAGGGCTGGATTAGTAGTTTGGTCGGTGACGATCAGCGAATATGTGGTATTACATGTATTTTTGCTCTCAAGATCACCTACATGTTTTGCTTTGGTTAGCGACAACGTCACATCTCGGGTTCCCCAGGAAGACCTGTGCGGGTTGCACGTAATGTGTTCCCCTCGGAGACCAGATGTATGAAGTAAAGTGGTTCTGTAAGGCGGCATTGGGGCTGCTGGATATGTGACTGCCATCCCCAGTTCCTCCTGTGAAGTCAGCGTACCCACTTTTCGGTCACTCAAAAACGTCTCATCCTTCACACCAACCGCCTACTCTGACTTTTAAAACATTTCTGTCGGAAAGTAGGAGGCAAAGAACCAATTGCCCGCCAAAGGTATCCTGTCTCTGACGACACATACATTTGGGCCTCAGGCTGCAAAGCGCACAAGGAAACAAGATTTTGAGCGACAGCCAATGCCAAGACACTTCCTAACCGCCTTCGTGGTAGGATTAGCGCCGAGAGCTTAGCGGCCTGAACAGTCCGCCCAAGATCTAATTCAGCCCAAGATCTAATTCAGTGACAGCAACTGGCACAAGAAACCCAGATGCTATTCCTTCAACTGCGAGATGTCCCTGGTGCGGGGAAGTAGCCAATAGGGTCCTGGGTCCTATCAGGCTGAAGTCCCTTCTAATTGAGGGCCTGTAGTGACCACTAGAGCCCCCAGCTTTAAGGCCTATAATGGCCCTCAGGGGCCTCCTATAATTCATGAATCAGATGTAGTCCGGAATAAAGGTGGAGTGAAAATGGAGACAGGGTCATCTCGCAGTCGAGGGTATAGCCGATCAAGCTCAAAGAGTCATTCAGTTACCGAGCATGACACATGACCGATCATCGGCCTAAGGACTGTGTGCACAGGCATCCAACCGCTGGTGTCGCCAAGATGTAATATGGCGTGCCACTAAAATTGCCCGGGAGAAACCTCACTCCGAGTTACCTCCATGGCCCACCACTAGAACTCTCGCAACTTACCAGATGCATAAGTCTAAGCAGTGCACCCCGCGAGACCCAACACATTTGTAAGTCCCCGTCGCCTTGCATAACCATCTTATCCCTTCACTCTTCGTACTCTCCGTTGTCGTTGCTGAGAAGCACTCCAGTAAAGGTACAGGTCGCTCCACCTACTTTCCTGTCGTGGAGGGTTGCATCGTTCTTTCCTGCAACAGTACCGCCTCATGGTTAATTATCCCTAATTACTCGGTGCGTTCTCGACCTTGTGTAAACATGCTTTTTCCACCACTCCAAGAAAATCCTCATCCCGCTGACTAGCTTTCATACAGCAAACCTCATATGTGCTACAAGCCTCAGTTGAAATTGATAGACTGGTTTCTCCCTTTGAGAGCAAAATTTCTTCGCGCCATTGCCAAAGACCTAGCCCTTGTGGTGCATGAGAGATGAGATGAGCGTGAAGGCCTTCGAGAGCACGGTGCAAAACGGATCCGAGACCACGCAGCACTCATCATTATGACCGATTCTCCAAGATACATATCAGTCCCCGCAGCGCCAGGTGGCCATGCACATTGCCTACAGCCATGTTACAGACAGAAAAGGTCCCTTGCACTGAACGGTTGGCGTGCCTTGTTGGGTCAGAACGGCGGGGGCCACACCCTTCCCATCCGTGTTCCCAGCTGGATAAGGAGCCTCAAAAGCGAGCGAGACATTTCCAAAAACGGGAACTCGAAACAGGGCCAGGTCGGACTACTTGCCGAAAAGTACGGTAGATGTCGAGAACTCATAGGCCGTGGCACCTATGGGGTAGTGAGACTATCACATAAAACTGCCGAGGCCGGTGAAGAAGACTTATTCGCGGTCAAGACGTTTATCCGTCGGCCCGAGGAGTCGCAAGAAAGATATCGCGAGCGTGCCACAGCAGAGTTTGTTGTCTCTTCTTCCCTCCGGCACCGGAATATCGTCTCTGTTCTGGACCTGATGAGGGACGAAGAGGGAAACTACAGCGAAGTCATGGAATTTTGTGCAGGCGGGGACTTGTTCTCACTTATAAAATCTGCCGGCAAGCTCATGCCAGGCGAGGCTGACTGCTTCTTCAAACAACTGATGCGCGGCGTCGAGTTCCTTCACGAAATGGGAGTTGCGCACCGGGACATTAAACCAGAGAACATACTTCTGACCATCGACGGTGTTATAAAGATAACGGACTTTGGTTCCTGCGACTGTTTCAGGATGGCATGGGAATCCGATGTTCGAATGGTCTCTGGCATACGCGGATCTGAGCCTTATGTCGCGCCTGAGGAGTACACAGAGACGGAATTCGATGCCCGAGCCATTGATGTGTGGGCCTGTGGCGTCGTCTTTGTGGTCATGCGTACCGGCCGCTACTTCTGGGGAAAAGCAAGCAAGGTCGAGGATAAACTTTATGCTCGCTATTTGGAAGATCGCCGGATTGAAAGTGGTTACGCCCCTATTGAGGCTTTTCACAGGGTTAGTACCCCTCTTCTACGAACAGACCTAGGCCGGTGTATTAATACCTTTGGACCACCAGATACAGTGCAAGAACGCGATATACTGCATTCTAGACCCCCTTCCAAAACGACGCATTACTGCGTCACAGTTTCTTAGGTCTAAATGGATGCGGGAAGTAGCGCTTTGCAGCAAGAGCTTAAGCATTTGAGGGGCAGCTTCTATGGATTATTGTGACGGGTAGGGCCACGGGCTTTTTCGAAGTGTGTGTGATGTCACAGGATTTGACTCGTCAGGTTCATACGATTCGTCCTATCTGTGTTAACCAAGACCTGGTTGTGTCCAATTCGCGAGATCAGAAAATATGCCTCTATTGCGCTTATTTATACACTAGCAAACTTAGCTACAATCCACTGAAGCCATGCAATGTGGAGCTTCCTATCATCATCATCAGTCATCTTCATGTTGGTCAATGAGTACACTTTTTTATTGCACAAGCTGATGACTGCTGAGCTGCATGCATTCTGTGACAGCAACCTGCGGTGGCGGCCCCGGATCATCACTAGACAGATAACCGCCTTGCTAAAATAGAACAATGTCCGGTCATGGACTTGTTACCAAAAGGGCCATCGAGTGTCGGCTTGTCTTTTCGGGGCAGTATTCGATCGTTTGAGCGGGAAAGGTGTCGACGGAGCGAAGTCGAAGAGTCGATCGTATATTTTCAATTTGGGCCAGGGAGTGCCGCTTGCACCGGGAATGGAATTTCATCCGTCTCCTTCGGGAGCTAAATGGAACTTCTGCTCCCTGCCCCTTTGCCAATGGGTAAGCCGGATTGAAGGCGTTAGGCTGGCTTCCCGCGAGGCTGGGCCGGAGTGACTGAGTCTCGGTATTGCGGCGGCGTTTAGCCCTTGATGGAGAGGTTGGCTCTGGAGGTTGCCCAGAGCCCCGATCGGGGCCGGCCGGTGAGGCCGGCAGCGGTCCGATGCCCGCCGGAGGCTGTGAGGCCATCGCGGAAGGGCTCCGGAGCAAAGACGTGAAGAGTTTTCGGCCGTAGGGGTTCTGGTAGTTCAGCACCTGATTCACTAACAGCAGATGCCAAGAAAAATTAGGCGAGAGGGAAGTGAAAAAGCGTTTTTGTTGGTGTGAGTGTTGTATTTTCGCCTCTTTGGGGGCGGCGGCGGCGGCGGCGTCGGGTATCTGCTGTCACCGGCATGGGCAACGCTTGAGCCGTGGCTGCTATACGGTTGATCGCGTGAAGAGGGAGATGTCAAAGCCGTGTGGTTTATCGGGGAGGAGGGGTTGACCGGTCGCAGGAAGCTAGCTCGTCCAGGGCTTGGGAGCTGAAGCAGCTTGAAGTAAGGAAATGACCAGCCACTGTAGTCTGCAACTGGAGGAGAGTCGTTGGTTGGTAAAGTAGGGGTAGGATTGTCTATCTGCCAGTGGTAAAGATTCATGACGTCGGCGGCGGCGTCGGCGGCTGCTGCTGTATAGGGTTGATCGTTGTACTGAGCATCGGGATCAAACATCCAAGTGTTGCGGTCAATGAATTCACCGTATGGCATTATATATGTGCTGTCGTCCATGGTACCGTACTCGCTCATGCTTTCCGGCGGGGCCATGTTGTTGTTGAACATGGATGCATTGAAATGCGGTGACGGTCCATCCGACTCTTCCTTCGTATCAGCCGGAGCCGCATGCTGGTTGATAGGGCCTCGAACGTGACTGGCTTCCGACCCGTGCGAGTAGGAGTAATCCAAGTTTGACGGGGAGCAGAGAGGTGTCTGAGTCGGGGTCCAAGATGCGTACTCCGCCTTGATGGACCGAGACTGACTCCGGCAAGTCCAACAACTTGTCGTTGGTACCGTGGCGCGATGGCGGTGAAGTTGACGCGTCGAGATGGGATGCAGGATAGCGCGTCAATCTGTCTGAGGGGGGAGGGGGGTCGCTATGGTTAGCCAGTGATAGGTCCATCTCTGCGTGTGCCTCTCTGTCTAGCATTCTTTCCGGCTTCGCTATTTCCGCGGAGCGGAGCCTGATCGACCGTCTTCGTGTGAGGTGAAGAAATCTATATCACGTCTAATCGTGTCGAGTAAAGCAGTCTGGGCCGAGGCGTCGAGTTTAGGGACGGCCGATTTTCTGGTGTCTTACTGTCAGTCTCAAGTGCCCAGAGGGAGTTGGGGCTAGGTCACATTACAAAAGCTCGATGAGAGAGGAGATGTCGTCCAGGGGCATGGTTGGTAGGTGCGTGTCGACACTGGGCTCCCCTGAGGCCAGGGGTGTCTGGTCCGACTGGGCGGAGGCCATTCGCACCAACAAGTCGGCGTTCTTGATGAACTTAACGAGGTCTTCGAGATCCGTTTCGATGTTGGCGATGCGCATGCGGCCGATAATTTTGACGGACTCCACCTCGGGGCGCATCGGCAGCAGGCGGATGAAATCTTCAAAGAGGGTGACGCGGCGCTGCAGTTCCTTGTGCTTGGATTTGAGGGCGGCAAAGCGAGTAACGTCTGGGCCGCCATCGTACTCACACATTGCACGGCCCATACTGGCGCACATGGAGCACACAGGACGCTGGCCATCGCACTTTGATTTCCTCCGACGACATAAGGTGCAAACAATCTTTGTATTGAGACGGCGTCTAGGAGCACTCGAGGAGATTCCGGTAGCGGATTGCGGGGTCGACCCCTGTTCTGGTGAGGCGCTGCTGGCTGCTGACGGGCCTGCGGGTAGGATCTCTCGCTGAGATTTCATCGTGACTTTGAACGAAGGGAGAACAAGGGCAGGCCTGGCGGGCGACTGGGATCGCAAAGGACTGACCGGCGATAAGAGTCGCAGGTGTGTAGTAGCCGGGATAGCGTGATCAGCGCGGTCGCCGAAAGTAGTCGGAATGGGTGTGCGGATGGACGAATTGAGAGACGGAGCCGGAGTCAGTGCCGGATCGGGCTGCAACCACAAGAGCAACAGATCCACCCGCTTCGTTTGGATTGTCTCGATTGTCTACGACGGAGCGCGTCATACTACCGACCTATCGGCCGTGAGGATTTCTTTTGTCTTCTTCTAGGGGTTGTCTCCCTGAGTGGATCTCCGAGTTTCGAGTCTTCTGCTTAGGAAATTGTCCCATCGTGTCGGTTTGGTCGAAGACGTTGAAAGCTGCCGCATATGGTTGTTGCGGATGGAATTGCTTTGGAGAGAGGCCTGTCAAGTAAGGGTGTGACGAAATGGGCCAAAAGGCCGCGGCAGCGGTGGCTGCTGCTCTTTCTTTTGTCAAACTCCTGCGCTCAGGTGCAGCTGTCGCTGGGTGCTGGTGTTGGCGATAACGCTGGGCTTGGGGGCCTCGGATTGTTCCGGTGGCGTCGGCATGTTTACACAGCGGGCCTTCCGGCGATTATGAGAAAACCAGATCCAAACAACAAAACCCGAAGGAGGGGAAAAGAAACAAAACAGATGCCTCTAGCGATGCAAGAACAAAGAGAAAAAAGAAAACAACGATCAAGGCTTGAAGTTAAGCTTTGTAGAGTTATCCAAGTCCCATGGACTCTCGTCTGGCCGTGGTGGCCAGGCCAGGCCTACAGGATCTCACTCGTCAAGTCGACTTGAAATCTTCTGCTGCAGGGCTCTCTGTGGTGCCAGGAGCCCATTTTGACAACGGTGAGAAATGCTTATTGGCGGCAGTGAACAGGGGCAATGGCCTTCCAGTAGCATGCACCATAGGCACCACTGGAACTACCATAAGCAGAAGCGATTGGCACAACGGAATCCCTTAGGATACTCGGCGCTCGTCATGTTGACATCAAGATTCCAACCATGACAAGAACCTCATCAACTAAGCTTCGGCAAATTTGATTGTTACGAAGCATATGTACTGACGTCCCCAACCTGAGATAGCTTGCTTCTAGAGTCCCGTTAGTCAACTCTGATGTCTTAAGAGATAACTTATCAAAATTTTAAGCCTTCTGGGTCTGCCAGCGCTCGACCTCCATCCGCAAGAGCAACAACATATTCCTCTGCCACAAACTACCAGTTCGCAACCAGCATGCCCTTTGTCTCTACCGGCGGCTCCACGGCCAGGGCCTACAATATTGTGTACACAGCTCTAATCGGCATCATCCTCGTCATTGTCTTACCATTCGCTATTCTCATCCTGGCCAAAAGCAAGTACGGTAGAGATCCGGCACGAAGATTTGTCCCTTGGCTCAAGGTCGCGTCCATCTTGTTTGCCATGTGAGTCGCAGGCAATCGGAAATCATTCCTTAGATAATCGACTGCGCAATGCTGACAGGAACGGCCGAGACAGAACGCTATGCTTGCTATTCGTGCAAGGTGTGCTAAACACGTACGAGATTCACTCTGATATCTCGCATTGGCACATCGTTCGTGCCTCCTATCACATCGGATATCTCGCCGAATTCTTTCGTACTCTCTCGGCGACTGCCGTCATGGTCATGCTACTTACACTAGGGCCAGGCGTGCACTACGCAATGGAGGGCGTGACCAACACTTTCGACAAGATCCTACGATACACAGCAAACATTCTGGCCATCGCCGTTTTCGCTCTAGCGCTTGCTTACTATGGCCTTTCAGTCGACTTCGAGCTTAACTACACAAACCATATCGGGTATGTCACCCGACCCAGAGAGGGTATTAACCGCATCCACGCCATTGACCAGCTCATGGGCACGACTGCAATCGTCCTTTGGGTTGTATCGCTCGTGATTACTGGTCTGTCAATCTACACTTTCATCGAGAGAAAAATGTCGCCTCTTAAGAATGTAAGCCCGTCCTCCCAGACTTTGGCTCCGTAACTAAAATTGTTCCAGGCATCATCTCTCTACCTTATTGCCAGCATATTAAACCTACTTAGTTCGACATGGGGTTTCGCCTATGCTGTCGGATGGTTGTTGGAGTGGAAATGGCGTCGTGACCAAGCTCAACATGTCTTGATATTATCCATCATTCTTGGGTGGTGGAGTCGCGGCATCTTGCTCATTATCAGCTACTTCATAGCTGTGAAGAGCGGACCAGCAGGCGGTATTTGGTCCAATACACACCATTGTAACATAGTGTAGACTGTAGATGTAAAGTTGGCGGCACAGTACGTAGAACTTAAGGTTAAAAATGCTCCTTGAGAATCGTTTCGTCTCTTCAAGTGTTCAGTTGTGTTGCACACAAACAGAGTTTATAACGTCCTGGCTAGGCCATGAAGGGCTCTTGTATCTATCTTATATGCTCCTCGGGTTGGGTTTCTAACCTGATCTCAGACAAACCCACAAGCAAGATCCAATTTCGTATGTGTCATCTTTGATTACTCCTTCCGAGGCTTGCGGTTTCTCGTGGTGGTTAGTAGCTGGTCGTCTTGGAGCCAATTCCTCCAAGTACTTAGATTCCTATTATCGGCGGCTGAACCCAGTCCTGCTGTCGGTGGCACGAAGGTGCGTGTGGGGTTAGTCGATGGTTAGATTGAATGTGTGATGAATGCTTCGCTCTCGTAGCGTGCTTGAAGTGTTTAGGACAGTATCTCGATGAAAGACATGCGTTGAATAGTCTGCAAAGGCTTGGAAGAAGGATATCTAGCGTCTTGTGCAAGACACCATTGGTGACACCGTCCTCTCCCGGCGCCTTGTTCGGGGCGGCTCTTCCTACTGCTCTCTCGATCTCTGCTGCAGTAATGTCCGGGCAGTCGATTGACGGAGGGTACTTGTAGCCTTCTAGGTCTGCGAGGTCGGCTTGTTGCGGGGGCGGGAAGAAGGATTGGCGAAGAATCTTTGCCTTTTCCTCTAGCTGGTGGGCGAGGTTGCCACCTAGTGTTCTTACGGATGATGTGCAGGCGGAAGATGGGTTGTGCCTATTCTTGGCCTACTTGACTAGGTTCTATAGGCTAGATTGTGTTGATGATGCCTCTACCCTCTGCTGGTGTTGTTGTTGTTGTTGTTGTTGTTGTTGTTGTTGTTGTATTTTACGCCATGGCGGCAAGGGCGCAACCGCCCAAATTCTCGCTCTGCGATGGCACGCACGGTCACGTCAGTAATGTTGGCTTTTGTGATCTCCACCGATGAATTGAGGTAGTTGAAGATGTCTCGAAGATCTTGATCGTTAACGATCGAGAAGGATTGGCTATAATTGACAATCCAGTTGACAAGTTTCTGCTGGAATACAGTTTTGTCAAAACATTTGATCAAGGTATTGATCAAATCTTGTTCCTTCGGCTCCTTCGGGTTCAACTGCAGGATTGTTGCAATGGACTGATGTGCTTTCTCAGATGCCTTGGCAGGCTTTTGCCTCTTGCCTGTTGGATCCATAATGCCATTGTGGTCCGCGTACAGGTGACCCTCAGCATTCTGCAACCCTTTGATGGCATAGCTCTTTGGCCTCGGCCGCTTTTGCTTGATGCAAAGGCAAACACCCATCGGCGTTCCCCTTTCTGGGCATGCTGGATATCGTAGCCGAACTGATATACCCATTGACGCACTTGGCCGTCTCTCTCCGTCAAGGTCCAGCCTTTGTAGAGCTGAAAGAGTCGTTGATTGTCTTCTTCTGTACGTTCTGGAACGGGTGTGGTTGACTTGGTAGGATGGAGGGCGGCCATTTCGATTTGGGGAAATAAGGGCGTGAGTAGTAGTAACCCCCTAGAATAGACTTGTTTGAACTTGGTGTACGGGTAAAACGGGGTGGAAAATTGTTGCTATTGCGTTGTCGTTGGCGATAGAAAGTACTTGGGGTATGTGCTATTTCACAAGGAAATCCAGGTTTTTTCAACTCCCACCTAAATCTTCAATTCTTTCCACAATTTCCACATATGGAACATATGGATGGGGTTCCGTGGCGTGAATATGGAAAGGCTGAAGCCTACGTGGAATGGAATGGAATGGACATGGATCCATATTATGGATCCATGTGTGGATTTTGTGGTATGGATTTGAACCCTGGGACTAGACAGCCAACTCAACCCTCAAACGGACCAGATGGGAAGCAATGAATCTGGGGAACCAGTGGGAACCAGGGACAGATAGAACGCACAGTAGCCAGCAGGCAGGATTTGGAGGACGGAAGGAAGGGCGATATATGTAGTACGTAGTCCTAGCCTACGGCTCTCCACGCCACATACCCCTCGGGAGGTCTGCGACAAGGGTTCCACCCTTGCCGCTATGGCGTTAAATACAACAACAACAACAACAACAACAAATTGCTCTACTCTTGACCCTTCACCCTGACAATGGCGTCCCTGCTCTGACCAAATTACCCCGATTTTGCTGCTGCAAGTTGGTTCTCTTCTTAAGGTCAGAGTGCAGCCTCTTCGATGTTCATGATATTTTTTTTGTTCAATACCCGTGCTCCTTAAGCCAGCCTACAAGCTCTGCTTCCGCCTTTGCCCTAAGCTCGGCTCTCTTCACCTCGTCCAGTTCCTCGAGAACTGACGCGCTGCCTAGCCAGTATGGACACAAGAACCTCTGCAAGCGCATAAGGTCACGGATCTGGTTGACGCCGTCGATCTGGCTTGGAGCAAGAGCGACACTCTCCTGTAAAACCGAATTCCACGTTTTAGCAAGCTCCCGCTCCTAAAGAGATTCTTTATCTAGGTCTGTAGGTGGCATAGTGAAGTCGCCTGAGAGAATTGTCTGGTTGATCGCGGTGTCGTTGTCACTAATATTTCCACCGGCGTAGCTAAAAGATATAGAGATGAACTCTTTAAAGGTGTGAGAAACGGAGGCGAAGTTAAAGTCAAGAACTACTATGACTTTCTTAGCCTTTTTATTAAAGAGTATATTATAAATAGCTATTAGGGATTAATTTGATGTTAACTAGACTTAGGATTAGAATATATACTCAAGTCTCTATATGTTAGACACTTTTTGTGTATATTAATAATACTAAGCATTTTCTCTAGGTTACCGCTAGCGAGAAACTTTTCGATCCTAGCAGTAATACTATTGCTTTTTTAGCCTTAGATAACTAAGCTTCCAGTAGCTTATTTGAAGCAGGAGCATAGCTTTTCTATTCTCTACTCCGCATATAAGCCAGTGGGTCTTACATCTTATATAGATAACGACTCTCCACTTGTAATGGCGCTATTCAGGTCAAACTTGAGTCTGCTGCCAAACTTAGTGACGCTTTGTGGGAGATCTGCTGCTTGTATGGCCCTAAGAACGGCAGCCATCTGCTCTAAGACATGCTTCTAACTTTCTATGTCAAGAGAGGAGAATTCCGGACCAAGATCAACGCCGCTCCGGAACTCTGACATGATCCAACTAAACCCCTCCTCGTTTACTTGGTCAGTAGTTGTAGTAGGCGCCTAGGCATAAACATCCAGTATTAGTAGATTAAGCCCGCTTTTTTCCATGGACTTATAAACAAGGTGCTATAAAGCGACGTTATTCTCTACGCGGTTAGTATTATTCACATCGTGGGCCACAAGGTTGCTAAGTTTGATGACTAGCGTAAAGACGCCTTTAGGCGGAGCTTTGCATATGCTAGGTTAAGTACTCAGAAATGATGATATAAAGGCTGGAATTACTAGCTTTACTTTGAAGAGGAAGTTGTTAAAGGGATATACATACTCTTCGTCATAAGCCAAAGTCAAGATGATAGAGGCCTACCGGTAAGTTAGAAAAGTTACCCAGTTAGTAAAAAAGAAGTTAATGTATGGCAGTACTGATCACCAACCTGAAGCCCGTGGCCGTAGAGGAGTTGCTGAACCACAGAGAGCCGACGTTCAAAGCCGGCGTGGTTTATATTAATAACTATCATAAAGCTATAGACTTAACAGTAACACTGGAAAATGTGATAAGAAAGTAAAGAGTCATAGATTGGGGAAGGGCAAGCAGAGTTGATACATAGGAAGCTGGTCTTGTAGAGTTTAACTAGGGATGATTTAGAGTTATATATGTCATTTAAGTCCTAATTTAGCCGCTAATTTAGATGACCCTTAGCATTTAATCAATAGCCCTTGTCATAGTGCAGAGTATGGCTAACATGAACTAGTAGTATTACAAAGGATCTTCTAGAACTAAATGTATCTCTAATATGCATATGTAAAGAGAAATGACTGTCCTAAAAGCAGGTCACAAGGCTCCTAATCAGGAAGGAGGTTACATGACAGAGAGATAAACCCTTACATAAATCCTCCTTACCTAACAGATAAGGAATATAGAAGAACATTCTTGAATCAAGTCTCGAGGTCAGGGCCACAAAGGCTGAAAATTGACGATAGTGACTTAGTGGATCCCCATACCCTTGTAATCGACGGTGTCAATGGGCTCTTCATTCAGATCAGGATTTGTCAACTTACGCCAGCGGGTGTACTCCTGTTAGTGTGTATTGGTAAAACTGAATCTCTTGAGCGAAATCTGTTCTGGAAAAACTTAGGGTTACTTACTAGATAGTGCATGGCGTGTACATTCATGTCGCAGGTCATCTTGTCGCTGTGGCCAGTGATATGCCAGGCGAGCATTATCCGAAGGTTCGCGAGGCAGTGGAGCTTGTGGTAGGTGCTCTGCGTGAAACTAAACCCGTTTGACTGACCACCTTTGATGAAATTTGGCTTGCCTGCGGGCTAGTTGGCCGTCTAGAAGTCGCCATGTTTTATTAAAGACTGCTAGTACTCGTTTATGTACTTGTTGCTATGTGAAGCGGTCTCCTTAACCTTTTACAAGGTGATCTTAGGCTTGCCAAGGACGCGATGAGCGATGTTGATTTATTCGACGGCTCCTAGCGCCAGGCTGTTGTGGTCTAAAAGACTATCGTAGATGTCATTACGGCGCTGGTTGACAGTCTTTGGGTAAGTCATGGCGCCACTACGAGTGTAAGCTTCCTCACGGATGTCTTTAGCGTTGTTACCACGTTGGTCAAGCGTCTTTGGGTAAGTCATGGCGCTACCACGAGTGTAAGCTTCCTCACGAAAATGTTCAGCATCATTACGCTTCTTAACAAAAAATTGAGCAACTGTGACACGCGGAGCCGGAATTCTCATCCCGAAAGCTTGTGTCAAGTCGACAAGTGGGAGGTCTTGGGCCTCACGCTTAATATTGACACTGTATATTGATCTGTATGTTAGAGTAGGCTTTCTTGGTCGGGATATGAAATGGAACGAGTGTAGTACACAAGACTCACCGCATGATTGTGTCATTGCGGAAGGCCCGCTGGGGAAAGTGCTGGAATCGGTGATAGCCGAGAGGATATTGCACGCTGTTGAAACATACTGGCTCCTGCCCACGAGTCACTTCAGGGCTCAGAAGCAGCGATCAGCAGAGCAGGCGCTGGTTCTGCTTCAGGACTACATCTACAGAGCATGGAGGAGGAGGAAAATCCTCAGTCTAGTCAGTTTCGACGTCAAAGGCGCGTACAACGGAGTATATAGAGAAAGACTATTTCAGAGGCTCAGGGCAAATGGAATCCCGGAAAAGCTGGTGGCGTGGGTGGATGCGTTCTGTTCGCAACGGACTGCAAGCATTCAGGTCAACGGCCAGGACTCGGAGGTTCGCTCTCTGCCCCAAGCGGGCCTACCTCAGGGTTCCTAACGAAAACTCTCAGGCGCAGCGCTTGCGCCTGGGAAATAATGACACTACGCTACGCATTCCGTCTCCGCAGGATTCAGACAACGGTACGTCGAGTAACTACGCTCAGCCCGCAAGCTTCGCTGTATTGCGTTGATGACGCTGCTGCTGATATTGACCATTCCAGGACAATGCATCGTCGCCATCGAAACCGCCAGCGGCCCTAACGTTGACGATAACCCTGACGAAGGTAGGCAGCTAGGTGATTCCCAGTAGGAAAGGTCTTAGTCAGTACCTGCGCCACCTGTATTGGACTCGGGCACGATGTCGTGAAGCGGTGCTGAAGCTCTTTCTTTGATTTAGATGCCATTAAGTCGATCCAACGTACGAACACGAGTCGTAATGAGGGCTCTGTTCTCCACGCTGTCAAGTCTATCGAGAAGGCTGTCACGACCATGTTTGTGTTGGGTGCTGTTCGGCCCATAGTCCTCAATCGTTCCCGCGATCACTCACAATCTCGACCTTGGTCTCAGCCTTGCGGCCCTGAATCGCCTAGGCTTTCTCGCCAAATCGCTGTCGATCGCAAATCCAGGTTCACCAAGACGACTCAGAACGATCGCGACATTCTCGGCGGCATCGAATACCGCGCTTTGAAGCTGTTACTCTGGTTTGTCATTGGTATGTCGCTCACTACAACTTCCCTCTCGCCTAATTTTTCTTGGCATCCGCTGTTAGTGAATCAGGTGATGAACCGCTAGAATCCTTAACAGCCGAAAACTCTTCACCTCTCTGCTCCGGAGCCCTTCCGCGATGGCCTCACAGCCTCCGGCGGGCATCGGACCGCTGCCGGCCTCACCGGCCGGCCCCGATCGGGGCCCTGGGCCACCTCCAGAGCCAATCTCTCCATCAAGGGCTAAACGCCGCCGCAATACCGAGACTCAGCCACTCCGGCCCAGCCTCGCGGGAAGCCAGCCTAACACCTTCAATCCAGCTCCCCCAACGGCAAAGGGGCCTCCGACCTTAACTTCAGCCACTGGTAGGACCGCCACTGGGTCTGTCTTGTCCGCCCTGGACGAGGAGGCCAGGCACTATGAGGCCCGCAAGGACGTCTTCTTAACCATCGCGCAATCTGTTGATAATGTCGTCTCCAGCTTTGAGGGCCCCAGGAAGCAGATCGCGAAAGAGGCTACGGCCTATGTAATCCAAGCCCTAAAGAAGTTCATCAACAGGGAAAATGCTCCGACACTGAGCCGGAGCTGGGCCGCCGTCACGGCCTCGGCACCAGCTGCAGCTCCGGACCCCCACCGGGCTCCGACCCACCCGCAGGCCAGACCCCAGACAAAATCCCAGGCCCAACCCCAGCCCCGACCTCAACCGAAAGAGGACCTCCGGGTCTTCGCCCGCATCCCGGAGGAGGGCCTGTCAGCTGCCCGAAAGAACGCTCCTTTTGCCCTGCGACAGACAGTTTGCCGGACCTTTGACCTCCAACTGGCAGATATCCCTCACATCTACCACATTGCGACCGGATACTCACTGAGGCCATCAAACAAGCAGATTCAGCAAGGCCTCCTGGCGGAAGAGCGAAAACTAGCGGCCTGTCTAGGAGCTTACAAGATAGAGACCCCGATAAAGTGGTTTACCTACGTCGTCCCGCGCTGCCCAGCCAAGCTGTGGAGCGTTGATGGGGACGCCCTGGACCCAGCCACCTTGATCGAAGACGAGGTCTTTGCCCAGACAAGACAGAAGCCCACCCGGGCCCGGCAATCCCGCCTTGGGCCGGACCCCATCACAAACAAAGTCTCTTGGGTGATCTCGTTCCTCAAAGAGACACAACCCTTCAGACTCTTTAACCAAAGTAGCAGGTCCCAGCTTATTCAGAAGAGGAAGACGCTTATCAGACACGACCCTGGCTGCCAGGGCTACCACTCAAACAGCTACTGCAACCGACATCCACTCTGCAACAACTGCGGCAGACCTTCAGACTCGCACGAGACTGGGCCCTGCACAGCCAAACCTCAGTGTGCGAACTGCTGCGGCCCATCCCAGGCCAGCCACAAGGATTGTCCAGCAAGGCCTATGACGATGAACGGCATCCCTGCTCTCCCAGACCGGAAGGAGCGGGCCCGGATCCGCAAGGTTGGACAGAAGGCATACGACGCCCTCTACGAGGTCAGTCTGAGTGCCTCTCGGAAGAACACCCAACAGCCTGGGGAACTCCCCCCCCTGGCCAGGATCAACCGCTCGGCTCCAAGCGACCACGCACAAGGACACCTTCAGAGAGCTCGATTGTGTGCCTCGGGGACGGGGACACTGATAGCAGCAGCATGAGTGAAGACGAACCTGAGGACGCAGAGGGCACTGCCCAGACCAACCGCGCTATCCTACCCCTCTTAAACAGGAGCCAGAGGGTAGCCCAGAAACCGGATTACAACGTTGCTAATGCCTACACCCACCTGGAGCTCGACCTGGAGACGTAAGCCGAAGCAGGGCTCTCCACGGGTGTTGCGCGTAGCCCAGTGCAACGTAGGGAAGCAGTCGCCAGCACATACAGCTTTCCTGGAGCTCTGCTGGGCTGAGCGGATCGACATTGTACTGGTCCAGGAACCCTGGATAGGCTATGTTGACAAAATGCAAATCAACACACACCCAGGTTTCGATTCCTACGTCCCAGTGGACTTTTGGAAGGACAGGGAAACCAGACCTAGGGTCATGACCTACGTACGGAAAGGGATGAAGTGGAAGGCCCAGCAGCAGAGGCCCGTACAGACAAGGGACATCTTATGGATCACAGTTGATAACGCAATAACTGTGGTTAACGTATACAGGCAACCAGGAGATCCTCACAATCACACAACCACAACCCTCCTAGGATACAGGCCGCCAGAAAAAGTCCTTGTAGCAGGAGACCTTAACGCTCATCACTACTCCTGGGAGCCCGGATCGAGGAACAGGAATAGGGGGGACGACATAGCAGACTGGGCAGATAGCCACGGCTTGTCTTTCATAGGCGAGACAGGGACTGCAACCCATGCCCAAGGTCATGTACTCGACCTTACCTTCTCGAACATCCCCCTGGCACACGCAGTGATCAGCCCACACCTGCACCCAGGGGCCGATCATCAAGCAATTGTCTCAACAATCCCGCTTCACAAGCAACGACAACAACAGACAGATCAACCACGGTCACTATCAGTCCCAGACTCGGCCCTACCCCGGTTCAGAGACCTGATCAGAGCAGGAGCCTCGGTCTTACCCACTCTCCAGGACGAACCTACCCCTGCCGAGTTGGACACCCAAGCTGGGAGAATAGCCGACCTTCTCTCCACGGCTGTCCAGGCTGTAGGGAAGAAACGAGGAAAGCATGGGAAGGGGGCCCCTTGGTGGACAGAGGAGTGCGCAGTAGCCCACCGATCGTACCGCGAGGCCTGCTGCCGGCAAGCCCAAGAGCTAGAGCAGACCCTACGCCTTCTTACCCCACGCCTTGCTATCCTCGAAGAGCAGAAGGTCTTCTTGAGGACAGTCAGGAAAGCGAAACGGGCCTACTGGGCTGATAAGATCGAAGGAGTTTCCTCGGACCAAGATCTCTACAAGATTATGGGCTGGCGAAAGGCTAGCCTAGGGGTCAAATCACCCCCTTTGATAGTGGAGGGTCAGACGATCGACGACACTCAGGGTAAGGCCCAGGCACTCCGAAGAGCCCTCCTAGAGAGGTTCAGTGCACAGGATGACTTGCCAGGAGACCCGTTCGACGTCCCTACGGTCTCTCGACGACGGATACCTTGGCATGATGCCATCAGTAGAGAAGAGCTGAGAGAGGCTACTCTGACAAAGACCACGACCCCTGGCATCGACGGGATCACAACACGGCTGCTTCAGGCCTGCTGGGACCTTGTATCTGAGCCTGTCAGACAACTGTTCCAAGCCTGCATACAGACGGGCTACTTCCCCCAGCCTTTCCGCAGAGCGGAGGTCGCTATGATCCAGAAAGCGGGGAAAACAGACTTCTCAAAAGCCGGATCCTGGCGGCCAATAGCCCTACTATCTTGTCTTGGGAAAGGGCTCGAGAGGCTGATAGCCAGAAGAATGTCCTACCTTACTATCTTAGAAGGGGTGACCAGCCCACAACAAATAGGGGCTCTACTTGGCAGGTCAGCGGTCGACCTAACCACCTGCCTTGCTCACGACATCGAGATGGCCCTTGACAAAGGGCTCACAGCGACATTGGTAACGATGGACGTCCAAGGTGCCTTTGATTCTGTCCTTCGGAACCGTCTGATTGTCCGGCTACGACAACAAGGCTGGCCTCACAGCCTGACCAGGCTGATATTCCACTTTGCTTCGAACCGAACTGCCAGAGTCAGGCTGGAGGACGCAACAACAGAGGACTTCCCGCTGGCTTGCGGGCTGCCCCAGGGCTCCCCGCTGTCCCCTATTCTCTTCCTTCTTTACATCGCAGACATCTTAGCAGAAGATCCGAGGCTCCGGTTCGGGTACGCAGACGACATCGGCCTTCTGGCCATGGGCCCCTCCCTTGAGAGTAATGCTGCGATCCTCGGCCAGGAGATCACACGCATCCTCGACTGGGGAGCTGAGAACAAGGTCGCTTTCGACCACAACAAGTCCGAAGCTATCCACTTCACAAGAAAACACAAGCAACAAAGAGACCTGCCAGGGATCAAGGCGGGAGAACTGGAAATTCAAGCATCCATTGTGCCTATCCGCTGGTTAGGGGTTTGGTTCGACAAGAGGCTCTCCTTCCGACACCATGTTGAAACGAAGCTGGCTGCGGCAAAGAAGGCGGCCCAACATCTTAGACACCTGACAAACACAAAAGGCGGGCTCCCGGCCGCTGCTGTACGTAAGGCTGTGATCTCCTGCGTCCTGCCAATCGCCCTCTACGGGGCCGAGACCTGGTATGGAGGCATGACCAAGCCAGCCTCTGGCAGAACCACCGATACCGGCCGCAACCTTATCCCCCAGACAGGCTCAGTCAGTACAGGCCAGAAGAGCCTTGCGCGTAAGGTTGAAAGCGTCATCACGAAAGCGGCAAGGGCTATCCTGCCGGCCTGGAAAACAACTCCGACACGCAGCCTCCTTAGGGACGCTGGACTACCACCAAGCAAGGTGGCTCTGGAAGCAGTCCGCCTCCGCTTCGCAGCACGTCTAAAGAAGGTTGACCTACAACACCCTCTTGTCGCGAGGCTCTCCCAACGAGGGCGACAGCAGACGAGGCTCCAACGGACTGCAGACCTTGCACCGAAATGCCCGAGACCCGCACTCATCCAACCGCAGTACCTCCCAGGCTCACAGGACCTGATAGTCCTGCAGAGTAAGAAAGAGGCAGCCAAAGCCTTCCAGGCCTGGCTAAAGACCGTACCAGACAGCCACATGGTTGTCTTTTCAGATGGCTCCAAAGCGACGAACGGAGCCACAGGATATGGGTTCGTTATCTACCGCAGCAACAGGCGCGTGGCCCAGGGCTGCGGCCGACTCGGTCTAGCAGAGGTGTTCGACGCCGAGGCTGAAGGGGCGAGGATAGGACTCCGGCGGGCCCTCTTAACCTCCCAAGGCCAGCCGATACACATCTGCATCGACAACACCAGTGTCATCCAAGGAATACGGGGCGAGGCACCAGACTCCTCGCAAGCAGCGGTGCTCGAGATCCAAGCTGCTGCTAGGATATACAACATCCACACCCACTGGGCGCCAGGGCACCAGGGGATTAAGGGCAACGAAGAGGCGGACCGGCTAGCCAGGGAGGGCACAGCGCTGCCGGTCCCTCTAGGCCAACTGGCTACGCTCTCCGGGATCAAACGGCTTGGTAGAGAGAGATTGCGAAACCAGTACAGACAGTGGTGGGGTAAAGAGGCGACAGAACGGTACACCCAGCTTGGACTGAGGCTACACTTCTCCTGCCCTCCCGAACTCGCCCTACCACGGAGCACCCTCCACCACCTTTTAGCGGCCCGGTCGGGTCATGGGGACTTTGAACACTATCACCGACGCTTTAACCACACCGAGGCCTTGTTAACCTGCTCCTGCGGGGAGGCAAAGGAGGTAGATCATCTGGTCTACTGCTCAGCGACCCTGGCGAGGAGGCAGCAGTGGCCCACCCTCTACCCAACTGGTCCGCTCGACCCCATAGGACCTATGGGATCCCTGGAACGATACTTCAAGGGACTAATGACTGACCCAAAAGGCTTTGAGGCCTTCCTGCGCGTGACACACTTTTTCCGGAAGATCTGTCCACGCTACTAGGGAACGGGCTCCGGCACGGGACCTGGACAGCCAACTTAAGCCCTGAAGGGAAATAGACGGGAAGCAATGAAACTGGGGAACCAGCGGGAACCAGGGACAGATAGAACGCATAGTAGCCATCAGGCAGGATTTGGAGGACGAAAGGGAGGGCGATGTATGAAGTACGTAGTCCTAGCCCACGGCTCTCCACGCCACATACCCTTCGGGAGGTCTGCGACAAGGGTTCCACCCTTGCCGCCATGGCGTTAAATACAACAACAACAACAACAACAACAACAACATGTCGCTCACTAACGAGAGTTCTTCAAAGGCCAACACTGCAGCATCGCTCATGCCTTGACATGCAGGCTATTTTATCGGACTTCACTTGTTGAGCGTCATATGCTTGCTGCCGTGGATTCATAATGCACCAGCCAAATACGCCGACTGGCTAGTTGATCCCGATGTCGGAAAGACTTGGTGGTACGTGACGTTGTTCTTGCGGTCGCCCTCGTGTGCAACTGATGTTCAGCAGTGGCACGACGTGAACCTTATCACTGATTTGGGATATATCTAGGGCCGTGTATACTGCGCAAACCATGGCCAACAATCTTGGCTTTACCCTTACACCAGATTCAATGGCAACCTTCAAGGACGCTACTTGGCCAATGCTGGTCATGACCTTTATGGCTTTTGCCGGTAATACGTGTTATCCGGTCTTCCTACGACTCTGCATCTGGATTACGTCGAGTATGGTACCGAAACAGTCCCAAGCAAAGGAAACACTGCAATTCCTCCTTGACCACCCGCGGAGATGCTACACGCTCCTCTTTCCTAGCTATCCAACCTGGATTCTGTTTAGTATCGTATTTATACTGAATTTTGTTGGTACTCTACTTATTATTGTGCTAGATCTTACTAACCTGGCTGTTACGGATCTTATTATAGGACCCTGTATCCTGTCGGCATTGTTCCAAGCCGCATCCGCTCGTCATATAGGTACCTCTACGTTGGATCTTGCAGAGGTTCATCCTGCGGTCCAGTTCAGCCTACTCACAATGATGTATATAGCGGTGTTCCTGATTGCCATTAGTGTCTGTGCTTCTAACACGTACGAGGAGCGGGCATTGGGCATCTGGGCGCCTGATGCTACCAGTCTAGATGAGAACGACGGCGTGTCATACGTCACGGACCACATGCGGAATCAGCTCAGCTTTGATCTCTGGTATATCTTTCTTGGAACCTTTCTTGTCTGCATTGCCGAAGCGCGGCGTATTACAGATCTCAGTGAACCGGTGAGTTTATGCTTAGAACACCTGTCTTGTATGGTGCCTCTTTACCAGGGTTGTATGCGAACTAACGGCGTTTTCAGTCTTTTTCCGTATTTCCTGTGTTGTTCGAAGTCACATCAGCTTAGTTCGTACAACCGTACTCACGGGGCTCAACAGTTTGAGGGCCTTTGCAGAATTAAACTGACAAGCAGTCCAGCGGCAATGTTGGGCTATCACTCGGTGGCCCTCTTGGCAACACGTCCATGTCCGGACATTACTCTGTTTTCAGCAAGGTGGTTATCTGTCTAATGATGATCCGGGGCCGCCACCGCGGGCTTCCCTACGCCTTGGACCGTGCCATTACTCTGCCCACGAGAGACGATGATGACACCCAAAATGAAAAGATGACAAGACCCTTTCGATTCGATAGTCCACCCCCAGTTAGGGCGATGGTAGCCCTGGCTAAGGCACATACAGCTTCCTGACATCGTCCGTAAGCTTCTCTTTCCGAGTCCATTCCCGCCTTGCTCGAATACACATCTAGCAAGTACCCCATGTTCCCCGTATCAAATCTGTCGCTGATTTAGCTACAAGTATAGGCCTCATGACGGCTTTGCGACTGTCTAGCAAGTATCCCGCCACCCCCTGGACTAGCGCTGTATCGCTGATCCCGCTGCGTAGTGACTGCGAAGCCGCAGTAGTCCACCCGGCCGGATATCCGCAGGTGTTACCTTGGCTTAGGTTTCGAAATCATATCATACTTGATATTTGCCGGCTTCGTAGATCTTTTTCTTTCGTCGTCGTCGTCGTCGTCGTCGTTGTTGTTGTTGTTGTTGTTGTTGTTGTTGTACTTAACGCCATGGCGGCAAGGGTGGGACCCATGCCGCAGACCTCCCGAGGGGTATGTAGCGTGGAGGGCCGCAAACTAGGGCTACATACTCTACAGTACATTACCGTTCTTTTCGTCCTCCCAATTCTACCTGGCGGCTACTATGCATTCTATCTGTCCCTGGTTCCCGCTGGTTCCCCAGATTCATTGCTTCCTGACTAGTCCCTTGAATGGTTAAGTTGGCTGTCTAGGTCCCGTGCCGGAGCCCGACTCCTAGTAGCGTTGGCAGGTCTTCCAGAAGAAATCTGTCACACGGAAAAAGGCCTCAAAACCTTTTAGGTCAGTCATTAGTCCCTTGAAGTAACGCGCAAGGGATCCAATAGATCCTATGGGGTCAAGCGCGCCAGGAGGGTGGAGGGTAGGCTACTGTTGCCTCCTCGCTAAGGTTGCTCGACAGTAGATATATGATCTACTTCCTTTGCCTCCCCGCAAGAGCAGGTTAGCAGGGCATCAGTGCGGTTGAAGCGTTGATGATAATGTTCAAAGTCCCCGTGACCCGATCGGGCCGCTAAGAGGTGATGGAGGGTAGTGCGTGGTAAGGTTAGTTCAGGAGGGCAGGAGAAGTGTACCCTAAGCCTAAGCTGGGCGTAGCGTTCTGTTGCCTTCTTGTCCTACTAACCGTCTGTACTGGCTTTGTAATCGCTCTCTACCAAGCCGTCTGATCCCTGACAAGGTCGCCAGTTGGCCTAGAGGGACTGACAACGCTGTGCCCTCCTTGGCTAGCCGGTCCGCCTCTTCGTTGCCTTTTATCCCCTGGTGCCCTGGCGCCTAGTGGGTGTAGATGTCGTATATCCTAGCAGCCGCTTGAATCTCGATCATCGCTGCTTGCGAGGAGTCCGGAGCCTCACCTTGTATCCCTTGGATGACACTGGTGTTGTTGATGCAGATGTGTATGGGCTGGCCTTGCGAGGTTAGGAGAGCTCGCTGGAGACCTGCTCTCGCCCCTTCAGCCTCAGCATCAAACACCTCTGTAGACTGAGTCGGCCGCAGCCCTGGGCCCCGCGCCTGTTGCTGCAGTAGATGACAAATCTGTATCCTGTCGCTCTGTTCGTCGCTCTGGAGCCATCTGAAAAGACAACCATGTGGCTGTCTGGTACAGTTCTAAGCCAGGCCTGGAACGCTTTGGCTGCTTCTTTCTTAGTCTGCAGGACTATCAGGTCTTGTGAGCCTGGGAGGTACTGCGATTGGATGAGTGCTGGTCTCGGGCATTTTGGTGCAAGGTCTTCAGTCCGTTGGAGCTTCGTCTGCTGCCGCCCTCGTTGGGAGAGCCTCGGGACAAGAGGGTGTTGTAGATCAACCTTTTTTAGGCGTGCTGCGAAGCGTAGGCGGATTCCTTCCAGAGCCAGCTTGCTTGGTGGTAGTCCAGCATCCCTAAGGAGGCTGCGTGTCGGAGTTGTCTTCCAGGCCGGTAGGATCGCCCTTGCCGCTGTCGTGATGACGCTTCCAACCTTACGCGCAAGGCTCTTCTGGCCTGTACTGACTGAGCCTGTCTGGGGGGAAAGATTGCGGCCGGTATTGGTGGCTCTGCCAGGGGCTGGCTTGGTCATGCCCCCATACCAGATCTCGGCCCCGTAGAGGGCGATTGGCAGGACGCAGGAAATCACAGCCTTACGCACAGCGGCGGCCGGGAGCCCGCCTTTTGTGTTTGTCAGGTGTTTAAGATGTTGAGCCGCCTTCTTCGCCGCAGCCAGCTTCGTGTCGACATGATGTCGGAAGGAGAGCTTCTTATCGAACCAAACCCCTAACCAGCGGATAGGCACATTGGATGCTTCTATTTCCAGCTCTCCCGCCTTGATCCCTGGCAGGTCTCTTGATTGCTTGTGTTTTCTTGTGAAGTGGATAGCTTCGGACTTGTTGTGGTCGAAAGAGACCTTGTTCTCAGCTCCCCAGTCGAGGATACAGTGGATGTTGCTGACTAATGAGAGACCCGTGAGTGTACGGACCCGTGAACCTATTGGGAGCCCTGGATAAAGATGAAATCAGGCCACGTTGGCAGTACCGTATATACTCGGTCAAGTCGCCTTCCACTTTTTCTTGCGGTAACGCAAAGTGGTAAGGTGGCTGCTGAATAAGGGATAGTGTACTGGCAGAATCAAGGATCAGTCAGCATCCGAGTCAGGGGGTCCAAGGGATCAGAAACGTCAATTATACCTAGAGGTCCCAGGGCCAAGTAGGCCGCTGGACGTCTTCGGCTGTAGATATGTACTCTGTATTGTCCCCAGCAGCATGTACGTCAAGGATTTCTGGGTCTAAAAGCATCTCTTGTTTGACGTACTTATCGCAATCAAAGGTATCCCATCCATCCCATAGAATAGTCTCAATTGGCGTATCCTTCACCTTGATCTTAGCTATATCGCTGCCATCTGGGTGGCCAGATATCCCACATTGGATAAAGGATTGCTGGACCATCTGGGCAGCCTTGTCAGCAGCCAGCCGGCTGGCTGCTGCTGCCACTGTATGGGTAACCATAATACGCTTCATTGACGTCGTCCAGACAAGTGGCTGGCCAGCTGCCTGGGCCAGCTGCTCTGCGTTATAGACGTAGTTGTCTGTTGCTTCAGAAAGCCACTGCTTAAAGGGCTTATTAACGGCAGTATCAAGAGGTTGAAGAAGGGAGGTTGTGCCGGGCGGTATAAGGCTGGGCGTGATGTGGTTAGTGCGAAGTCGAGATAGGATAGATGGGGTCTTGTGGAAGGTGGCAACGTCCATAACCAACAGATACTCTTGCCCAGCTGTCAAAGGGAGGAACTCTTCAGTTATCCACCTATCAAGCAGATACTCGTTGTTATAGGCAGTATCGTTGAATTCGACAGTAATCTGGCTGCTATACTTACTGCCTTCGTTGCCCTCGATCTGACCGCCTTGACTGCTGGGCTTGCCGTGAAAGATAAGCTTAGGCAGGATACGTTGGATACCATCAGCAAAGATATAGAGGATAAGGGCGGCCTGGCGCTTGCTCCAGCCGCTGCGATCGGTCTTGCCAGCAACGGTACGGGCGCCCTTGTCAGCCCACGTTGACCCATCGAGATACTCGAAGGGTATAGGGGTCTCGACAAAGTTGATAATGCGATGGGTTGGAAATCGAAGGCCAGTTGATAGGTCAAGAGGCAGCTGGGCCAGTGCCGGCTGACTAACTCGCCGGTTAAAGTGAAGGAACTGGGTAACAATAACAAGATAGTCAGCAGGCAGCTTTGAGGCCTGCTTTGTGAGCCGACGATGGGAAATATTCCAGCGGCTGCGGAAACCGCTAAACCAACCAACAGAGAAGCGGAAGGTAGATAGGCCAGGGTATCTGCTGGCAAAAAGGGCTCTTGCCGTACGTCTGAACCAACCAGTAGTAACAACCCTAGATTCGTCACGTTGCTGGCGAAATTGGGTATAGAGGTCAGTCTCTAGATCGGGCCAGCTGGGCTGGCTGCTGTTGCTGCTGGCAGCTGGGTTGTTGACGATAGTATCTCGTCGCTGGTACCAGCCTCGAATTGTTGTGCGAGGGATCTTGAAATAACTGGCTGCCTCGTCAAAGGTTGGGCGGCGTAGGCCGTTGGCAGGGTCAAGAGGGGTATCGCCAGTGCGTTGACGGGTAACAGGCCAAGGCTCAATTGGGTATCGGTGGTGCTCAAGGTACATCAGTACAGCAACTTGCTTGCGTTGGCGATAGGATCGCTGCGATCTCTGGGCTGCTGTTGCTGCAGCGTAACTTCGCTTAGTAATTGGGGTAGCCGTCTTGCCGCGAGGCTTCTTTTGCGGCGGCGTAACTGGCAAGGTATTGCGATCGATATCGCCCAGCGGCTGGCGGTTGGGCATCGTCAAAGTAGGTAAGTTGCGATAGTTGAAGTGGGTGTATCCTAGAGGTTGTGGTGGCTGTGGAGGTTGGAGGCAACAACGATGATGCTGGCTGGCGCTGGCTGACCGCCTTCGAAAATAGGCCTAGTTGGCTGCCGGGCTGCTAGCTAATTTGGGCTAGCGCAAGAAAAAGTGGAAGGCGACTTGACCGAGTATATACGGTATCACGTTCGTTACCTCCTTAGGTCAATTTACACAAATATTGCCTCGCTGGCTTGACAACTTACCTGGTCATGTGGGGCGCCGCAATTCATTGTGGACGTGTTCGCGTTCCGGGCAGCTATCCCATGCGAGTGCGAGTGGACTACAGTACATACACCCCAATAATAGCACCCACAATTTCCCCTCATGCTAAGAGTACATCGTCAGTACGTTATCTCGCCTCTTCCTTTTTCCTTCGCTTGCTGCCCACCACCTCAATTACAAATCTACGAGATGTTGAACCATCACCGGCTTCGCGACGGCCTCAAGTGACTCTGATGAGAGTGTGCACTCTTGTATAAACGTCGCGGTACTTCCCCAAGACCTTAGTGAAGCCTGTACTACCAATCTTCTTCTACGTGCGTTGCTTGTAATAATACCTCTCAAGGTAGAGTGGCGTTGGGTGCAGTCTCAGGCAATGCAAGGCGGAGGAAACAGACGAGGTCACGCTGTCTGCAGTGTAATGTTGTTCTGTGTAACTCCCGAGTTTGTTAGTACAGACAGATATTACCAGCAGAATCTCTAGTATCAGCTTGTACTCCGTAACTGTTTGATTTGATTGGGTCAAAGTTCCTTGGCAAAGGCTGTGAGTGTTCAATTCTCCGCTTGTAAAGTAAAACCGAAGCACTGCAGTCCACTCGCACTTGATGGGATAGATCTCCTGCAGGCCCAGCAGATCACTCTAAGCGCTACAACCACGCTTATCCCATTCATTATGCCACTGCTGACCATACTGAAGATCTGTCACTGTCTGCAAGATCCACTGCCGGCTCATCCTGCGATTCTCACAGCTGAGACCGAAAGACAACCTTTGGCGCTGGTGCAATTACGCGCTACTAAGAGCTTTATGGCTTTTGGGAGTAGGCATCCCAGCAAGCACTCAGAAATTTTCATGCAATAGCACATCGCCTGTCCGTCGGACCCACAACCAGCTCTAACAGAAGCCATTTTTGGCCCGTCCTCTTAGCCACACATCAAGGATCTTGCTTGCTGAGTCACGTTCCCTGTTTCCAAGATCCAAGTCTGGCTCTTTTGGAAAGCCATTTCTCACTTTTTGATTCCGGCTTTGGGGATCGATCTTCCCAGCCACGCGACTAGGATCTCGCCTCGTTGCACAGAAATAGATGCCGAGACCTAAAGATCCAGTTCCAATGTCGCCACAACAATGAGGCAGGTGCCGGTTCTGGCTTTTGGTGGAGGTTCTCCCCAGCCATGCAACAGGGGTCCTCCTTGTCCCACTACCTCCCCTGTCTATACGCTTCCATCTGACTCTTGCCAGGAGCTGGTTCCGGCTGGTCTTCCCAGCCACGCGGCAAAGAGCTTTCTTGCTCTACCATGTGTTCTATCTGCACAATCCATGTTCAGCTCCTTGAGGAGCAGGTTCTGACCTTTTATGGAAAACGTTCTCAACCATCCAACAACGACTCTTACTGCTTCACTATATCCCTGGTTGCAGAACCCATTTCTAGATCCCAGTTGTTGTATTGGAAAGCCGTGACCCAAAAATCCACTTTCGACGCCGCTGCAATTCCATCTTGAGAGTCCATTATTTAGAATTCACTATCCCGGCCACACAGCGAGCATCTTGCTCCGCAGTGTTACCTGTCCGCTTAACCCTGTTCCGGCTCCTAGCCTTCGTTATCCTAGGTCGAGCTCCGGTATTCTGGTTCTGGGAAGAGTGGTTGGAAGTGGTCCCGGAAACCCCGTGTTAAAGAGCCGTAGCCTCGTGGGGCCAGACGGTAGCTTCGTCACACCGCTCTCCAGCCTACATTCTTTGGTACAAGTTACGGCAAAGTCTTCCGGAAGGATTTTGACCATCATAGTGCTCCGCACGGAACACCCGGAGGCTCCGGAATCATCATAACTAATTGAAGACATAGTAACATGTAGTAAAATGTTAGTTTTGGTGGTGTCGACAGGTAAAAATAAAATAAAAAATGGGGGAAATATTGTTACGTCAGGTATCTCTCTAATTGCGGGATAGAATTAGGCCGGAACCGGAATTATTATGGATCTTGAAAAATAGAATGAGTCTACTGTACACTTGATGGGATAGATGACGTCGTTTAAATGCGGGGGTGGTTCAAAAGGGGTGTTGGAGTTAGGGGGTAGATATGATGAATCAGTGTTGTGCGGGGTGACGGATAAGGGAGGTGGACAGATGAGGAATGTCTGACGTCATGCTGTGGAAGGCTGTTGGAACAGACAGCACTTGCATGGCCGCACGCGGCAGGTCAATGAGGGAATTGGGGATTACCGTTCGGGCTTTAGGCAAGGACGCTTAGGCCCATCCTCGCTGGCCTTGTACGAAGACGTGGCCAGAAACTGCACGCACACCGTTGGATCTCAGGAAGATCATCAACCACTTAGAGAATAAAGTCTTTGGTCAACCCCACGCGTAATCGCCCAACAATGGCTTTACTTTCTTTGGTTGCCGGAGAGTGGGTCGGTGGTTTACCGTAAAGTCGCGGTGTCTGTAGAGTTTGTAGAGTTTGTTGGAGTCGAAGCCATCATTGAATGTTAGAGAGCAGAGCAAATAGTTGTTGTCGCCTTGTCAGAGGCAGGTTCTACCAGGTACTTATTCCGCTGATCTTCAGTGTTTGTTGCTTACCCTTTTGCCTAGCCGAAACCTTCTCCAACTATTTACACAGTCCACACAGGAAGAGTAAGCAGGGCCTAATGATCCCCTTGCATGCCTGCGGTGGGCACGCGGGGACCCTCAGGCCACTTACCAAATCCGCCATCTACGCCATCCCCGGGTCGGGGGCCCTTGACATGCATGATCAGCCACCGGCTTCCGTTAGTGGAAGAGGGTATGCAGGATGTACAAAGAGCGACCGGCGCGTTATGCTATCTCTCGACGCTCTGCCAACTGTCGGCATGTGTTGCAAGGGTCCAAAGCACCGAGTAAGCCCTTTGGCCGCTTGAAGGATCGCTAGCTTACCTTGGTTGTCATGGCTGTGCCTGTCTTGTCTGCCAATCAACGACCCCTACTTGGTTTCCTAAAGCCGTAGCAGTGTCCGTCCGTACCCGTACGTGTACTCGGTAGCATGGCAACGATTGATCATAGCTCTGCTCAGCCAGCAGCTCCAGCTTAATTATGGAGCCACAACGACCACGCCAGTCCGCACTGATACATCATAGAGTAAGAAGTGGAAAGTGCATCCATTGTATGGAATTGAAAGCTCCGGGACCATGTGGCGGCCGTATTGTTGTCGTCATTCTGCGCCACCAGTTTTTCCTGCAGTGAGTCCGTATCCCCCGAATATCACGCCGTGGCACTGGGCCATATCCTACATACTCGTGCAATGCTCCCGAATATTGGGGAGTCGCGAGCATAGCACGAGTAAATTAGGTGCAGGTATTTGGACTCCTGTTTTAAGCCCACATGAACCAGCCAACAAACGCTAACGGTCGCGCGCCCCAGCAAAATTTCGACTAGGGCGATCTTGCCCTGTAAAGACGCTGACAAAGCATCCAACATCGAACATGCCCTCCGCAAAAACATCTCTCACCCTGCAGCCCCCTTGCCGCTAAAACGGCTAGTTCAGGCTCAACTGGTTTAACTTAAGCACCATTGTTACTGTATTCAAATTTATCAGTACTTATCACTTGGGAGGAATGACCAGGAAAGAAATTGTGATAATCCTATTTCTAAGATGCCAGTGTTTCTTTCTCGCAGTTGATGATATTTGCAACTTCAGAAAGAAACCCTGATGACCATATAACACGAAATCAAGAAACAAATGACAGGTGTGGCTTTGTTTGCCCTAGCCGACCCACTCAATAACAACACATGCACCCAGTAAGACATCAGTATTCCTCGCGGTGGATTTGGACCAAGACTTCACTACTGTCCAGTGGCAATGAGTAATTTATGCTGGTTGGATTCTAGTTCCATCCCCCTTATCCTCACTCAAGTCTAGCGTTTCCGCGGAGTGTGTCAGCTCATGTCTTACCCAATGGCCCCATTCTGGCTTTTCGGCTGATAAATGGTGTCATGGTTGGGTAATCAGGAGTAAAAGTCTTTCAGTTGTCTCGGCCCTAGTTCCGTCCCACAAGACTGGAACGTTGCGGGGCTTAACGTCAAGACGCCCGGCGCTTCCGGCTATTGACCTACGTGTTCCGCCAAAGATGGTCCAGGCTCGGTAATGGGCTGGGGCAGCTCTGTATCAGGCCAGCGAGGCAATTTTGCATATGTTGGCCTTAGGAGATGAAACGAATGTGATGCTGTCAATGTGGCGACGTGTTATCCCATCGGGTGCGGACTCACTTCATTTTGCCATTCTCCAGTATTTTTCCAAATATTGTTGTTTTTCAATTTTTCTATTGGATGAAGCTATCTCGGCAACGAACCTGACTGGCATTCTCCGCATCTTGGCAAAAATGGCGAGAGTCCGCATCCGATGGGATTTCTATCCAGCTTTGGCTTAGTAATGCATCAATAAGGATAAACCTTATATCTACCTGACATTTTGTTCATCGGTCATCCTCTCGTTAAGATAGCTTTCTTTGACGGTCGCTGTCTCTTGGCCTTGGTCCACTTGCCACTTACTAGTTAAGGTGAACACCGATTTAAATTCACTTTGCTAAGCATCTACGGAACCTACAAGATAGTATCTATGTACACTGAATGCCTTGGCAGAATGGTGTTCGACATCGTGTTATATTATATCTATGTAGTCAGTCCGTTCCTGATATAATTCTCAGTAACCTGTGCAACAATAGAGGCACCTGGCTAACTGTACCACCGTTTCCCA